TTGCTACTGCTATTAAGCTGATCAGCCATTTAAATACTGAAGTAGGATCCTAGCAAGAATTCCTTAAAAAAAAAACACTCTCCAAATTATGTAACTGTGTTAAGCTAGGGCAATGCAGAAAACTGAGAAGAACAAATACAGTGGCATTTCTGGATTATGTAATCAGCGTTATTTCAGGTGCCCTGTATTTTGAGATATGCTTATAAGGAATTAAAGGTGTATTTGGTGCTTGACAACTGGGGTCATGATCAACATCTCTCTGACTTGAGTGGTGACCCTCACATTGTTTCTTTTCCTAAGGCTGGCTGCAGTCCCTTTTATATTCTTAGCCACAGATTACATCAACCAAGCAAACATGTAAATAAATCCCATGATATAATCTTCTTTAGCCTGAGATTTGTGGAGTGAATGTGAACATTAACAGGGTTAATGAGCTGCTTTTCCCTGCTCTGTGCCATTTTCTTTCCTCAAAAGCACTCTGAAAGGAGTTGTTTTGAGGGTTTTTTCCCCTCAGAAGTCTTCAGAAGGTAAGACTAGTCCACACAGACATGCTTAAACTTACACAGTGGCAGTCTAAACCAAATCTTCTAGATTGGTTAACATCTAGATAAGACACACAGTCAAGTGGTGGAATTCACATTATTTTACTACCAGTTCTGGGGGTGTGGCTTGGTGGGTGTGGCTTGGTGGGCGTGGCAGGGGAAAGGATACTGCAAAATCCCCATTCCCTTCCCACCCTTACTAACTGGCTTTCCAGCTCTGTTCTCTTGTACAGAGCAACAAAAGAAGACCCAGCTGATCATCTGGAACTTGGAAGGCAGCAAATAGATGGGGGCAGGGCCAGCCAGAGGTGGTATTTGCCGGTTCTCCAAACTACTCAAAAATTTCCGCTACCGGTTCTCCAGAACATGTCAGAACTGGCTGAATACCACCTCTTACCCAGTCCTGATATTGGTCTGTTTTATGAATTGATACAACATTCTCCTTACTTACTTTGAGAGCTTTGTGCAAACTCTGTGGAACTGCCAACCAAGCAACCTACTGGGATTTCAAGCACCAATCCTCTATTGCTTCGAAATCTCCAACTTAACAGGAAGAAAAACCTTTTCAAATAGCCGTAGAAAGGCATGCAATCTCAACCTGTCCATCAAATGCAGAGAGGGGGGAGGGGAGAGAGAGAAGCTGCAGAGTGGAAGTAGCCTGAGGCAAAGTTACTCTCAGATCATTTCCTTTACGTGGGATCAATCTTTTCCTCCTTCAGTTACTTAGCTTTACAAGACTAAGGAATGCAATCTATCTCCATTGGGCTGCTTGGAGGGGTCTAGGACAGCTCTCTGCAGCCAACCCAACATGGCCAACTCGCATGGCCAACTGACTGGCCAACCTGCCACAGACAACTTGCCATGGTCAACTCACTGTGGGACAACTCGCCACCACTAACTCGCCATAGTGTAACTCACCGTGGTACAAGAGTTAGACTGATATCAAAGAAATGGTAGAATAGAATCATTAAAGAAAGAATGAAATGTGAATGACAAAAATGGAAATAATTGTCGAATTACTTGAAATAATTAAATCGAATTGTTGAATTGTTCCGCAGTGAGTTGGCCGTAGTGAGTTGTCCCATTCCGTATTTGATCCTTACAAGGATTTCCCCAACTGAGATTTTTGAATTGTGGATGTTATCCTCAAGTGGCCAACTTTGTTGGAAGATTTAAGGATAAGAGACTTAAGTTACTTTGAAGTCTCCAACTTTGGGGAAGAAACCCCTGAGGTTGGTGGGGGAAGAGTTGGTACATTCCAATGACTCTCTGCCTAACTAACTTGCTCCAACTGATGAACCTGCTTGGATGAGCAGCAAAAGATCTCAAAACTAGCAAGAAAATAAGTCCAGTTGCCATGACTCAACCTTCAGACAATTTTACCTGGATAACTGAGAATCTTCATTGACTCAAATCTCTTTAACTTCTGCCTCCTGGAATTTTAGCTTTGGTAAGCTATGCAGAGGTTTGCAGTTGGAGAAAGCCTATCTGTACATTTGCTGTGGCACGTAAATCAAAGTTCCTTAAAAATTAAGCAGCAGCCCCCTTCAAAATTCTATTCCAAGAATTGTTCAAAGCTTAGCCAAATAAAAGGATTTTTTTAATTTAAAAAAAAAAGCCAACAATCTTCAAAATGGAAACCTTGGATGATGTCAACCACTGCTTCTCTGTATCAGGTGTGGGGGACTCATCTGACAGTCATCCCTAGTGCTGGATAGCTTAGAAACGGTTGCCAGGACAACTGGAGAGGTGAAGAAGAAAATCTTGTGCTATCCTGTGACAGATCACTTGGGAAGCAAGCTTTGGTCTGCTTTTGAAATCTACTCCTCTTCCTTTGCTTCAATTGGAAAGAGCTATAGTTCAGACTCATCTGCCAGAGATATCAGATGAAGCTACTCTTTCGTGGATCTAGCCATGTTTTACAGTTGGCGGACATGGGGACAAACCAGAGTTTAGAGCTGCTTGTTTGTTTTGCTCTTCCAATCCAGTCCCCAAGTGCTTTCTGCAATCACTGCATCACCGTAGCTATATTTAGTTAGTTCAGACTTCATAACACATCCATAGTTCAGCCTTCTCACATCTGCTGCTCTCCAAAGATGATTGTAGTTCCCAGAACTTACAAACCAACCTGTTAAGTGTTTGTGGAGTTTTGTGGACTTCACATTTTCTTACTGGAGAGAAGATAAACCAGGAATCCTCTCAGTATAGGGAAGGCTACAGAGGGTAGTTTAAAAAAAATCAAGATGGCAGCCAATAGCGTGGTTGAAGCTCTAATTTTTTTACAATGCATGTAAAATACTGCTAGAATGTCAGAACTAAAACCAAGAATGATATGTGGCGATTCTTCCAAACTTATTTATTTCATTTTTGACATCTACCGTGTTCCCCCCAAAATAAGACAGGGTCTTATTTTTTTGACCCCCAAAATAAGCACTTGGCCTTATTTTAGGGGAGGTTTTAATATTTTTGAGGTGCAGGAGGCAGCGAGCGTGATCACCTCATGGCTGCTACTGTGTTGCAATATTTTGGGGGAGGGCTTATTTTCAGAGGATGGCTTATTTTAGCGCATGCACTCAAAAGCCTGATTGGGCTTTTTATCCGGGGAGGTCTTATTTTCAGGGAAACAGGGTAAGTCTTAATTCTAAATCCTAATCCTGCTTCTCAACAAACTAGGCCTAATTTTCAAACCTATTCTAAGGTTTCAGATTTGATAGCCATTATAAGATAGTGGTTAAAGGGCTGGAGCAGGAAGTCCTTGACATACAACCAGAATTGAGCCCAGAATTTATGTTGCTAAGTGAGAAATTTGTCAAGTGAGTTTTGTGCCTTATTTTATGACTTTAAATGACTTATTTTCGATCTTATTTTCAGAGAAAGAGGGTAGAGACAAATTCTTGCCAGAGTGAGGACTCTACTATCTGCATGTGTGAATTATTCCCTCTTTGTCTCACATATAATATTAGGACTGAAACATATAATGTCAGGAGTGAGTTGCCTCTTATCTCTGTGGAATGCATCCTATCCACCCTGGAAACCCATGTCCTTACTACATTCTATCACGGAGACTTTTAACTGCACAATTGTGGCCATCTTAAAGGGGGGGGCACATCTATGCCCATTCTGAAACAGTTTATAAACTCAATTAAGTTAAATATTTATCACAGATAAATCCCACCCTGGTTAGGAATACTGAGAAATACTATTGTCAGAATGCTTTTGAACAACACCAGGATTGGAAGACAAGTTAAGCGGAGCCAAAACTGTAGCTCATAGAGCTTTGTTTGGGCCATATTTGAGTTTAGAAGCTAAGGGAAGTTGGGCCTGGATGAGTAATCAATAGGAGACAAAAGAACTGTAGACAGGTTAAAAAAATACATCCTGAAAGAAGATACGGTAATAGTAAACCAGTTCTGACTTGCTTTCACGAAAACCGCAGAGATGTTTTCATGAAGTAACCAAGCTCAGTCGTTTTACAGCAACTACAAGCCTTACTATAAAGAGTCTTGAGTGACTTCTCTCTCTGTGTGTGTGCGCCAATTACCAATTTGTTTTAATAACAGGCTTTTTCATCCACCGTTCACTGGATGCAGAACTGCTGAGAAGTTAGCATTTTGGAACAAGTAGAGGAGTAAGCGAGGATTTGTTAATGCAAATTAAGCAATGGGCAGAAATGCTGTGTTTGGAAACTCAGCAAATCTACCATCACCCCTCACGCCGGTGTCTCATTTATGAGCATACCGCACACAGTTTGTTCGCTTTATTTATTTACTGCTCTCGGATCCTGGGGAAAGGCAGAAGCTGAGACTGACAGGAAACAACCCAAGTGGTTTAGAGTCTTCCATCCCACTGGCGAAATCAGAGGGTCATCAGTTGTACTGAGGAAGAAATAGCAACCTTCCAAAGGCTGAACAGGTAGAGATTAGTGGGCATCCATGTCATCTGTATGTGTCTTTCTGTTTTCAGATTCTTGAGGAGACAAAGAAGAGATATGGCAGCCAGAAACAAAAGTGCTGACAAACGGAAAGCTAAGATGAACCGTTCACTGTGAGTATACACAATACTTTTTGTTCTCTTGGCCTTGCTAAAAGATGGCTCACGTTTGGGTTAGAATACAAGAACAGAGTTGGAAGGGACTTTGGAGGTCTTCTAGTCCAACCTCCTGCTTAGGCAGGAAACCCTACTCCACTTCAGACAAATGGTTATCCAACATCTTCTTAAAAACTTCCAGTGTTGGAGCATTCAGAACTTCTGGAGGCAAGTTGTTCCACTAATTAATTGTTCTCACTGTCAGGAAATTTTTCCTCAGTTCTAAGTTGCTTCTCTCCTTCATTAGTTTCTACCCATTGCTTCTTGTCCTGCCCTCAGGTGCCTTGGAGAACAGTTTGACTCCCTTTTCTTTGTGGCAACCCCTGAGATATTGGAACACTGCTATCATGTCTCCCTTAGTCCTTCTTTTCATTAAATTAGACATACCCTGTTCCTGCAACTGTTCTGCATATGTTTTAGCCTCCAGTCCCCTCATCATCTTTGTTGCTCTTCTCTGCACTCTTTCTAGAGTCTCCACATCTTTTTTACATCATGGCGACCAAAACTGGATGCAGTATTCAAAGTGTGGCCTTACCAAGGCATTATAAAATGGTATTAACCCTTCATGTGATCTTGATTCTATTAGGGATTAGGTTAAAGAACCTAATCCCTTCTCTTTGTAGTCTCATTCCACAAAGTACAGGTAGTCTTCGATTTACGACCACAATTAATCCCAAAACATCTGTTACTAAGTGAAACATTTGTCAAGTGAGTTTTTCCTCCATTCTGCAACTTTTCTTGCTTCTTCTTGTTAAGAGAATCACTGCAGTTGTTAAATTAGTTAGCAGGGTTGCTAAATGAATTTGACTTCCCCATTGACCTGGCTTGTTGGGAGGTTGCATAAGGAGATCACATGATCTCAAGACATTGAAATCATCATAGATCTGAAGGACTAAAGTCAATATCTATGAATCAGTTGTCATATGTCTGAATTTTGATCACATAACTGTGGGGATGCTGCAATCGTCATAAATGTGGGAAATGGTCAAAAGTCACCTTTTCAGTGCCATTGTAAATTCAAACAGTCACTAAATGAACTGTTGTATGTCGAGGACTACCTGTATATTATGATAGATTCAAAACTGATCCAAAAAACCCCAATATGTTAAAAGTGCTTCTCCATTGACTGACACAAAACACAAATTTCTACAATGGGAGCCTAAATTGGAAAATAGTCTTATTTGGCTTCTCTATCCTCTAAGACTCAGATGACCAAGGAAGCAAACAGTTGGTTTTCCTGTACCTCTTTCTTTCCATCTAGTGGCCATCCAGATTTCTGCAGTCCAGTATGTTAGCATGACATTTAGAAATGGGAAAGGACATTGCAAAGTATTTCAATGCTAAATAAGTTTGTTTGACTAATAAGCTTCCACATGGAATAACCTGGTGTTTTGTAAATAGCAGTCTTCAAACTGTTTAACTAGCAATAAGTTAAGTTTAATCCCTACCAGTTGTGGTCTGCCAGCGGCCAGCAGAGCTGGCAACAGATTCAGACTGTGAGGAGGCTGGGGAGGAACATGGGCCAGTCCTGAAGTCTGGGGAAGGCTTTGATGAGGGCTCTGTGTCGGAGGCAATGATGGGGCCAGGGTCATCTGGGAGTTATCAACTGCCTTTGAAGTCAGACATCAGTGAGGCAGATGAACAGCTGGAGCCTGTTCCCAATGTGTTCATGCGCAGAGTTGCCAGATGAAGGGAACAGCTAAAGAACAGGGGTCAACTTGGGAGTAAAGCCACCAGTGGACAGTGAATGAATGGGCCCTCCCATAGGGAATAAAAGAGGAGCGAAAGGGGTGTGGAGTCTGCAGGAGAAAATTAGTTCATTCCTGCATTCTTGCCTAGTATTGCGGCGTCTGAAAGATATCAGCCTGGCCACTCTCCAAGCCTGATAAAGGTTGGTAATTGTGAACTATCTTGAAAGACTGTGGGAGAGGAAAGACTTTGCTGGAGAGGAATTCACTGTAAATTAAATAAAAGGGCTTTATCGGGACGAGGACTCGGCTTCGTGCTGCTGGGGAAGCCTAGGTCAGAACACTACCACCAATCCCGTGAGAAAGTTAGGCTGAGATGGATTGACCTCACCAAAGCCAGTAAGTGAGCTTTGGGCTCAAGGAAGTGATCCATCTGGTTCTCTCCAGACATCGTCCAACTCTGTGCCCTGCTTTATGATTGATTCTCTTCCAGTTTTCCCTGTGGGTTTCCCTATAGTCCGAACTAGAAGGAGCCAGTTGGAAAAAAATTGTTTACCTTCCTGCCAAGCCAGTTCTCAATCCTTCATAAATAAAATTTGACCCTTGCCCCTAAAGAATGACTCAGATTGCCTGTTACGTCACTAACGTATCATCGAGATAACGCACATCAGTTTCTCCAGATATTTACTAAACTTAGTTTGGTCTTTTTATGGTTCCTTACAAGCAACCATATTACTGCCCTTGGAGATAATGGGAAGAGGTCATTAGAACTTAGGCAAGTTTGCTGGTAACTATTTATAGCCACTAATGACAAAACAGATCTATAGCGATGGGATCAAAATAGTAGACAGCAGGTTATAAATATATGTTTTTCCATGTTGAATATTCCCTTGTAGACTATTGTGCTAGAAGGTAGGATTTCCTGAAAAAGATTCTGACTACCAGGACATTAGAGCACTAAGAAACGGTTGCTGGTTTTGAGGTAGACATCTCTTGCCTTTTTTGGGAAACTTGTGAATGAGACAGACTTACTTCATAGAATAGATGTTTTATTTGTCTTTATTTGTCCGTTGGGAAACTATACCCCGTCTTTCAGTCTGTGGTCAGGGACACTGCACCGCTATGAAATTAGCTAATGTATCAGAACCAACAATAATGAAACAAATTAAGAAAGAAATGGAGGGGGGGGGGAATGAAGCTATTTGAAGTCAATAATTAATTTGATAAGTTAAAGTTGACTGATGCTTACAAGAGCTTGTCAAGTTCTTTTTTTAATCGTAATTCAAAAAGATGCTACTGCATAAAAGGTAAAGGTAAAGGTTCCCCTCACACATACAGTATGTGCCATCATTCCCGACTCTAGGGGGCAGTGCATCATTCCCGACTCTAGGGGGCAGTGCATATCTCCGTTTCAAAGCAGAAGAGCCAGTGCTTTCCAAAGACGTCTCCGTGGTCATGTGGCCGGCATGATTAAATGCCAAAGGGGCACCGAACGCTGTTACCTTCCCACCAAAGGTGGTCCCTATTTTTTCCACTTGCATTTTTTACATGCTTTTGAACTGCTAGGTTGGCAGAAGCTGGGACAAGTAACGGGAGCTCACTCCGTTACATGGCCCTAGGGATTTGAACCGTTGAACTGCCGACCTTCTGATCGACAAGCTCAGCGTCTTAGCCACTGAGCCACTTATGCTACTGTATAGGCTATGCCAGAATTTGGGGGAGGACACATTTCATAGCCCAGTTATCTACCCGCCCAGCTTCAGAGCATGACAAGATGGCACTGACTAGACTCACCCATCATTGTCACACCTTATTTCCAGGGGTGCCTTAATGAGAAGGGCTTATTTAGTTATTTACATATTTGAAACCTTTATGTAGCCACTCACCATATAACCAATTCTGGGTGGCTTCCTATCAAAAGTAAAAAACCATAATAAAGCTATAAAACTAAGCACATGCTGGTCTTTGATTGCGATAAATTGAATTTAAAAAGCTACAACATTATGCACATTTAAATGTAAAAAGCAATAAATCGTATAGTCCCTTATCCCAATGCTAGAGAGGTAAGTCAGGTCTTTCTTATTTTATTTATTAAATCTGTAGGCAACCCATCTCACAACTGAGTGATTCATATTACCATATTTTTCGGAGTATAAGATGCACCCTTTCCCCTCAAAAAATAGGGTGAAAACCTGGGTTTGTCTTATACACTGAATTCAGCATTTTTGGCTTCGCAAAACCCTGCCCCCTTTGCAAAAATGGGTGTGCAAAGCCTTTAGGAGGCTTTCAGAGTGCTGGACAAGCAAAGGCAACAAAGGAAGCCAGATTCCCTTAATGACCATACAATTCACTTAACAATTGCAGCAGTTTGCTTAACAACCAGGATCCAAAGACGTTGTAAAATCGAGGGCAACTTAATTCACAACCGCCTAGCTTCGCATTGGACATTCTACTTCGCAATGGTGGTCATAAATCAAGGATTATCTGCGTAGAAATTGATCATCCATGCTTTACAACCTGAGCAATTGAACAGATTAAGAGTTGGAAGGGACCTTATAGGTCATCTAGTCCAGCCCCTCACCCAAGCAGGAGATCCTACATTGTTTCTGACAGATGGCAGCCCAGTCTCTTCTTGAAAGCCTCCAGCGATGAAGCTCCCATGACTTCTGAAGGCAACTTCTGTTCCATGGGTTGATTGTTCTCCCTGTCAGAAAATTCCCCCTTATTTCTAGGCTGAATTTAGATACGTTGGTTACAGTTTTTCCTTTAAGGTAGGGGATAGTGTATTTTAATTAAATTAGGGTTGCACCCTTTCGTCCTTCCTGACTGGCAGCTGCACAACAAACCAATTGTAAGCAGGCAGGCAGTTTTGCCATTCCTGAAGGACAATATTTATTTTGTTGGTTTGTTATCTCTCTTTCCATCTCTCTGCCATTTGTAGCAGGTCTGTTTTGAGGGCAGCATAAAGAGCAATAGACTTTTTGCTGCTGACTTCCTGTGTTTTAATTTCTGTTAGCAGCCTCCGTCGACTATTGTCTGTACCAGCTGAAATATTTCTGAGTTATGTAAGACATTGGAAAGCAGACTTCCTTCTGTTTCAAATGTTGTGATTTTACTGTTAGATAACAGGAATCTTTTCTGAAGTAATCCTCAGATAACCCAAATAGGAGATGGCAACGCCTGCTCTTTTTTGGTAATCCTTGACCGGCGGCTACAATGGGGACTGGGATTTCAGTCGCTAAGCAATGCAGGCGTTAAGCAAGTCCACAT